GTTCGTGTTCATATTGCCCTTGGTTTATTATCCTTGCACATATATTGTTCATATCTTGTTTGCTAGGATAATTTGTTAATAAGTTTTAATTTGGCATAAAATTGGATTAGATTAGCATAAACCCTATTCACCTCCTTTAGGATTCTTTCCTAGTGACATTAGGGTACTTTCAGTCGGGTGGTTGTACGGGTCACAACGGGTTCCGCAGCTTGTCAGATAATCAATCGTGTGATAGAATACAAAAAGGGAGGTGTTAGTAGCGATTAGTAATATTCGAAGCGGTATAACGAGAGGTAGAAAATGAGTTAGAGAATGAGTTAGAGCGTGATACAAATTGGAGGTGATAGACAATATGTAGGGCTATTCACTAGAGAAGAAATCGGCGGATGTATTGCACATAAAATGTTGCGGTCAACAACCATTCATCATACGTCCATAACCTAAATTAATTCAAAATAAATAATTCTTTTGTAAAATAAATTCCTTTCAAATTATTTCTCACCATAATTATTCTAAAAATAATCTCTTACAATAATAAATTCATAAATTCAAAATAATCTTTTAACAAGATAAATTCTCATTAATTTAAAATAGTCTATTTCCCAAAATAAAATCTTTTAAAAATATTTATCATTCTAAAATGATTTTATTCCACAAAATAAAATTTTAAAAATATTATAATTATTCAAAAAAATAGTATTTATCACATAATTACGGTTCATTCAATATTATTCATGAAACACATGCATATAATTATTAACAGATCTAAAATAATAATAAATAATTAAAAATATAAATTCGCACGTACGATAAATATAAGAATTGAAACAAAACAAAACAAGAATCGGGATCTTGCCTCGGGTACGTCGAACGAATCGACGCAGACGGCGCAGATCAATTGCGCGGGAAGTGGACGACGCTTCGGGCAAAGAGCGCGGCTAGGACGTTGAACCGATCGAGAGATTGCATAGACATGTCGGTATCTGGGGGTTGCGGGCAGGAGGAAGACTGGTCGTCCAGATGGCTGGAGAGCCAGTATACGGTGATGCATCGGTTCAATAGGATCGATCGTCGAAGAGCTCAGCGCTGTTGGTAGGGATGGGTGAGACGTGGGGCTTCAGCAGATTACCGACTGGCGCAAGGTTGCAGCTACAGGTGACAGATTGGAGGAGACGAGATGAGCTGGCGATCGAAGGATGAAGCGGTGCGGCGCTCGGGACTCCGACGGCTGCAGCGTGCAGTGGGTTTGGGGGCGGATCTGAGAGGCGCGTCCGAGCGGCGCGGGAGGTGCGTGGCTGCACAGTGTGGGCTGGGCGACGAACGTGAAAGTCTCGCAACCGGTTCGTCGAGGGTAAAGGGAGAGCCGACGCGGGAGGGACTGGGCAGGGTTACGAGCTTGAGGTTGGTCGCGCGGAGGTGTAGCAAGTAAACAAGAATAATTAATAAAAAATATAATTTCTTATATTTAAAATCAAATAATTATGGGATAATTATCTACGCGAAAAAACGTACTAGTTATGCTAATACGACAGTTATTATGCAACAATTAAAATAATACAACAAATTACACAAATAATACGTAATTAATAATACAACATAATACACAAAATAATTGGTAATAGTAACAATAATACAACATATTATTTAAAATGACACGTAATAGTATCAATAACATTACGGATAAATTTTAGAAATTTTTTACTATACTAAATAAATTTATAAATATCTAAATTATTTAAATAAATATAAAACTTGGACTTTAAAATATATATATATATATATATATGTATATATATATATATAATTTTCAATTTAGGGTTTACTATCCCTTTTCAGCATTTAAAGATGGTCTAAGTTGATACTAGCAAACAAAAGCAATAAGAATTGATTAAAAATATCCAATTAAGGAATAATTTTTTTTCAAATATTATAGCTTAAAAATTATTGCCACCATATAAATTAAAGCAACCGCATGAAATTTTACTAATAAGTTGGAGCAGCAAAACACATTAGTAACATTATTTGATAGATGTTTAAATCCATAAAAATGATAAAAGACTATAATATAATAGCTTACCATTAATTGATTATAATTTATAAACATTAATCTCTGATGTTAATAATATTTATAGCGTGGAAGAATACAATGAATTACGTATGGAGTAACTATCATAATATTCAGAGATATCCTTCAAAAGAATCATGCTATTTCCATTGAAAATGGGAAAGTGATGGAAATAAATCTAAAATTCAAAAAACGTCCATGAATCATTTGAATTGACATTAACACAAGGCATGTCTATTAAAGAAGCACCAAGTGAGTTACATTGAAGAATAGTTTAATAACTTTATCTCAATCAAAGAAGAATTCTCCATGAAAGATATAAGAAAAATTAGTAAGCTTTCATAAATTTCATATTTTGTTCTTCAAATACCAAAAAAATTAAATATTAATATTATAATCTAAGGTAAATTGGTAATAAAAAATACATGTATTTAGTTTAGATCTTTATGGAAAATGACAGGGATAGAGCAAATGTAATATTATTAACGTAACAGAAACTCTTATTGGATGCACATCAGAAGAATTCATTGTAGAGAAAAAAATAAGTAGCTCCTAATATTATTTAAGTAATAAATTAGGAACACAAAGAATTTCATATATATGAAATTAATATTTATTCTCATTGAAAAAAAATAATCAAAGTCTGTATTTCAAGAAGTTTGTGATGAACATCGAAAATACATTTAACTTCTTTGTGAAGTTAAACGACAAGATAAAATATTAACGAGCCCAGGAAAGACAACATCACAAATAATACAACTCTAGCCTGATGTCACAATCGAGTAGATGATGAAGACACTGCTCTAGAATTGCCAGGGAAAAAGATAAATTTGAGGAAGGATTGATCTTAGCTCAATAAAAAATAAAACAGAAGGAATACAAGATACTATTTTTTGAATATTTTATAGAATAGTTTAATTATTTTGAGTGAATTTAGGAATCTTTAGAAGGGAGTTTCATGAGTTTTTCTAGTATTTTTTATATTCTTGTGCAGATGCTTTTATCATATGAAAGTATACTAGAGTTAACATTAATCTTTAATTTATAATTTCTTATGAAGTCTATCAATGTTTAGGAACAAACTTCATATTCTCTTTTGTATCGTTTTAGTATTTTTTTAACCAATTATTTTGTCTTATTGGTTTTAAATATTCACCTTCCTTATATAACACTGTTTTAATATTTTTTTACTTTTGCAACACTGTACTTTTTCAAGTAAAGCTTGGTTTCATGTCAGTCAAAATAATATGAAAATTTAAATTAGCTTCAAATTATATTTGTTTTCTATCAATTCAAATATCAAAATAAAAATTTAAATTGGGTGTAGCCCATTTAAACAAGCATCAAAGAAAATAAATAATCACAATATTAAAATTTAGAGACAAAAGCGAGCATAAACTATTAAAGTTGAACTGAGGAACAAATTTTAGTTAGAAAATAAGCTAAAAATACTTAATCATGGTATTTAACCATGTGCATTGCACGTGTATAAAACCTAGTATAGTAAAAAAAATACGACAAAATTAACGTCACAAAACCAATCCTAATTAGATGTGCAAAACAGAACGCTAGCTAGGCCGCGCGTGCTTGGCACACAGGCGTAATATATACTAGTAAAAGCAACGTACAAAGAAATGGATAATTGGTTGAGGAGAGCAAAAATCAAGAGTCCCACGTATCGTATACTATTTCTTCTCAATGATTTATTAGCGCCAAAATTGTTGAGCTCTTGGTTGGCTTTTGTAGGAATGATCTTCATTCATTATCCGCAAGAAGCGGCTTCTTCTTGTCATCCCATTTGTCCAGTCGTTGCTGTGCTGCTTCTACCTGCAATCATGAGAGACTTAATCCAGCATTTTACTAAAAAATAGTTAAATTAAAAAAAAAATATTCCTTTTGAAATAAAGAGGTCATGGCTTTATAAATTAGGAACACAAAGAATTTCATATATATGAAATTAATATTTATTCTCATTGAAAAAAAATAATCAAAGTCTGTATTTCAAGAAGTTTGTGATGAACATCGAAAATACATTTAACTTCTTTGTGAAGTTAAACGACAAGATAAAATATTAACGAGCCCAGGAAAGACAACATCACAAATAATACAACTCTAGCCTGATGTCACAATCGAGTAGATGATGAAGACACTGCTCTAGAATTGCCAGGGAAAAAGATAAATTTGAGGAAGGATTGATCTTAGCTCAATAAAAAATAAAACAGAAGGAATACAAGATACTATTTTTTGAATATTTTATAGAATAGTTTAATTATTTTGAGTGAATTTAGGAATCTTTAGAAGGGAGTTTCATGAGTTTTTCTAGTATTTTTTATATTCTTGTGCAGATGCTTTTATCATATGAAAGTATACTAGAGTTAACATTAATCTTTAATTTATAATTTCTTATGAAGTCTATCAATGTTTAGGAACAAACTTCATATTCTCTTTTGTATCGTTTTAGTATTTTTTTAACCAATTATTTTGTCTTATTGGTTTTAAATATTCACCTTCCTTATATAACACTGTTTTAATATTTTTTTACTTTTGCAACACTGTACTTTTTCAAGTAAAGCTTGGTTTCATGTCAGTCAAAATAATATGAAAATTTAAATTAGCTTCAAATTATATTTGTTTTCTATCAATTCAAATATCAAAATAAAAATTTAAATTGGGTGTAGCCCATTTAAACAAGCATCAAAGAAAATAAATAATCACAATATTAAAATTTAGAGACAAAAGCGAGCATAAACTATTAAAGTTGAACTGAGGAACAAATTTTAGTTAGAAAATAAGCTAAAAATACTTAATCATGGTATTTAACCATGTGCATTGCACGTGTATAAAACCTAGTATAGTAAAAAAAATACGACAAAATTAACGTCACAAAACCAATCCTAATTAGATGTGCAAAACAGAACGCTAGCTAGGCCGCGCGTGCTTGGCACACAGGCGTAATATATACTAGTAAAAGCAACGTACAAAGAAATGGATAATTGGTTGAGGAGAGCAAAAATCAAGAGTCCCACGTATCGTATACTATTTCTTCTCAATGATTTATTAGCGCCAAAATTGTTGAGCTCTTGGTTGGCTTTTGTAGGAATGATCTTCATTCATTATCCGCAAGAAGCGGCTTCTTCTTGTCATCCCATTTGTCCAGTCGTTGCTGTGCTGCTTCTACCTGCAATCATGAGAGACTTAATCCAGCATTTTACTAAAAAATAGTTAAATTAAAAAAAAAATATTCCTTTTGAAATAAAGAGGTCATGGCTTTAATTTGTTACTTACTCTTCGAACATCTATCGTCACCTAATAGTATACAGTCATAATACTACGACAGATCGAAAGCTTAATTAATTTTAAAAAATAAAATAAAAGTAGAAGTTATGATGCTTGATTAATTGCGGTTAAGACCATAAAGCACCATGCATGGACCCTTTTGAAACAATATTTTGCATAACGAGAAGAAGAACACGATGATGAAGAGAATTAATTGAGAATAATCAAATACGTACCTCTTTATTCCAATCGGTTCGAATAGTGACCCACAACAGAATGAGCGTCTGGATGAAGGTTCCTCCTATCATGCCACTCCATATCCCCTACATTCACAGATAATTATGGTATTGTTAAAGTAAGAGAGAGAGAGAGAATCTTGGGTAAATTTCCCTTGAATTGAATATTGAGTGTGCACATATATTTATACAAGTAGAGGAGTGTGAGGTTTGTTCTCCCAAGCAATGTGGGACTAAAACCCACTACAATACACTATTATCAACAGCCCCCTTCAAACTCATGTTGGATCAAACAAAGTGAGTTTGCGTACAAGAAACTGGAACCGATGAACAGGTAAGGCCTTTGTGAAGAAATCTGCAAGCTCGTCAGCGGATGAAACATGAGGAAGTAGAATTGTCTTGTCCTTGATAACTTGGTGACGGACAAAATGAGCGTCGATCTCAATATGTTTGGTCCTTTCATGAAATACTGGATTATTAGCAATCTGGATGGCACTCTTATTATCACAGTAGAGAGGAGTAGGAGTCGTAACAGAAATACCGAAATCACTGAGAAGGCGACGAAGATGAATAATCTCTTTAGCTGTTGTGGACATTGCACGATACTCTGCCTCAGTACTGGAAAGAGCAATAACATCTTGTTTCTTACTTCGCCAGGAAATAAGGGAATCACCAAGAAATATACAATAACCTGTGGTAGACTTTCTGGTAGTTGGATCACCAGCCCAATCAGCATCAGAATATGCACAAAGCTCTAACTTAGATGTAGCAGGAAACAAAAGTGAGCGAGTGCTAGTACCCCGGAGGTACCGAAGAATCCGTAATAAGACAGCATAGTGTACAGAACGTGGGGCACTAACAAATTGACTGACAATACCAACAGCATGAGAGATATCTGGTCGAGAGATGCACAAATAGACCAACTGACCAACAAGATGTCGATATCGGGTAGGATCAGATAGAGGCTCACCGTCAGTAGAGCAAAGTTTGACATTCTGCTGGAGTGGAGTATCGACAGTTGTATTATCAGTTAACTCAGCTTGATTTAGAATATCTGAGAGATACTTCTGTTGAGACAGTAATACACCCCGCGGGCCTTGAGAAATTTCTAGACCAAGGAAATACCGAAGAGATCCAAGATCCTTCATGTGGAACTGTTGTTGCAACTGAGATTTTGCGTATTGTATACCTGTCATATCATCACCTGTAATGATCATATCATCTACATAGATGAGTAATAAAACCCTGCCACGCGATGTAGTGCGAACAAACAGAGAAGCATCTTGATGACTTTCTATAAAGCCCGCTTTGAGCACAACATCGCGAAAACACTCAAACCAAGCGCGGGGTGCCTGTTTGAGACCATAAACAGCACGACGAAGGAGACATACATGTCCCGGAGGAATATTTGACCCTGGAGGCGGTTGCATATATACGGTCTCTGATAAAGAGCCATGAAGAAAAGCATTTTTGACATCCATCTGGTATAAGGGCCAACGATGAGCAGCAGCGACCGCAAGGAGAGTACGCACAGTGGGCATCTGAGCAACAGGAGCAAAGGTCTCCTCATAATCAATACCTTGTTGCTGAGTAAAACCTCTAGCCACTAAACGAGCTTTTCGACGTTCAATGGTGCCATCAGGACGAAACTTGACCTTATAAACCCATTTACTGCCAACAAGAGAGATCCCAGGAGGACAGGGAACAATATCCCAGGTATGAGTTTGCTGAAATGCTTGAAATTCCTCAGCCATAGCTTGTCGCCACTCTGGAATTTGAACTGCCTCTTGGAAGGACTTTGGCTCAACAATAGTATGAATGGCAGCAAGAAAGTTATGAAAGATAGGTGAATAAGAAGTAACAGAAGCATACCGGGCAGGCATGACATGTGGGCGTTTGCCTCGACGAAGAGCAAGAGGAACCTCAGGCGGGGGAGATGCTGGCGCAGGTGCATGAAGATCAACAGTATTTTCTGGAGTGAGAGTTGTGTCCACAGGATATGGATTAGATGGTGTAAGAGAAGACTCAGGTGAGGAAGAGTCAACAGAAGGAGAGGGAGAGATGTCAGGGAGATCTCGAAAGGAAAATTGAGGTGAAGAAGTGGGTGATGCAGTGGACGGGGAAGCATGATCGGTAGAGTGGAGGAAATTAAAGTCATCAGAAGTAGAATAATATGGAGAATCCTCTTCGAACTGAACATGACGAGATATATGAACTCGACGAGTTGCGGGATCATAACAACGATAACCTCGATGTTCTGAACTAATTCCTAAATAAACACAAGAAACTGCTCTGGGAGACAATTTATCACGTTCGTGAGATGGCAGAAAAACAAAACATCGACAACCAAAAACGCGAACTAGATCATAACGGGGAGGATGAGTATAAACACGACTATAAGGAGTAGCACCGGAAAGAGAGCTAGATGGAGTGATATTAATGGCATGAGTCGCGGTGAGAATAGCCTCAGCCCAGAAACGACGAGGAACAGAGTAAGAAATGAGCATTGATCGGGCAGTATCGAGGATATGACGATGTTTGCGTTCAGCAACACCATTTTGCTCATGAGTGTAGGGACATGACTGTTGAAAGATAGTCCCATGAGAGGACATGATAGAGCGCATGGCAGAGGATAGGTACTCTTTGGCACAATCAGAACGAAAAACTTTAATACGAGATTGCCATTGAGTGAAAATCATAGCAGTGAAGGCTTGATAAGCAGTAAGTACGTCAGAGCGATTCTTAAGTAGGTAAACCCATGTAAAACGAGAGAAATCGTCGATAAAACTAACATAATATAAGTAGCCAGATGAAGAAGGCAAAGGAGCTGGCCCCCAAATATCAGAATGTACTAAATCAAATAAGGAAGTGGATACAGATGTACTCATTTTAAATGGTAAAGCAGTGAATTTAGCCAATTTGCAACCAGCACATGACTCAATACTAGAACTAGATGATACAGGACCAAGTACTCCAGACTGAATAAGACTCTCCAGCCTTTTATTACACACATGACCAAGTCGTCTATGCCATAAATTGGCAGGAAGCGAGGTAGAGGGTTTTGACGAACAAAGAGAAGCAACAAGAGAACGTGGACGTATGGACTCTGGAAGGTGAAGATATTCCAGAAAATACAGTTTGTGCCTCCTACGACCCGCCCCAACCGTCTTGCCCGTCTGTGGATCCTGCACAATACAAGTATCAGAAGAAAATGAGACAAACAGGCCCGCCATGCATAAAGAGCTAATAGAAATTAAATTCAAGCACAATTGTGGAGCCACATAGACGGGACCAAGTGTTAGACGACCAGATGGATCATTTTGTGGGGTAATAGAGCCATACTGAGTAATGGACAATGGTTGTCCAGCAGCTGTGTAGATAGGAGGAAGAGAGGATGAAGTAAAGACAGAGGATAAAAGTGAGGCATTACAAGTCATATGAAAGGAACAACCAGAGTCAAAAATCCAGAGATCATTCATACCAGAGACTGAAGGATTAGCTGAAGAACCAGCAAAATGCATACCAGAGAGTTGTGCGGCGGATGTAGAGGTGATATGTTGAAAAGCATCAAGTTGACGGCGAAGACTTTCAATAGCTTGAATAGTAGAGTCTGAAGTAGTAGAAGGTATAGCATTGGCCAACAATCCTGGTGTACGAGAGGGTTGAGACTGAGGGGGTCGCCGACCACGTCCAGTACCTGAGGAACGTAACTCAGGATGAAGCTTGAAGCATGTCTCAATGCGGTGTCCTTCCTTCTTACAATATTTGCAAGAGAGCTTAGATCGAGCCTGTGGAGAGGGAGCCTGTGGAGAAGTATAATTCATAACAGGAGCAGTGACAGGTACAGACAAAACAGTCTCGAGTGAAGAGGTAGGAGTGTCTGTTGACAAATTGAGTCGTGCTGTCTGCTGCCGGGTCTCATAAGCAGTGAGAGCTCCCATAACTGAGGCCAAAGTCGGAAATTGAGGCTGGTGAAGTAGTTGATCAGCCATAGTTGAATATTCAGGAAGGGACTGAAACAATTGATGCACCTCATGCCGTTCGTACCAGGCTAGCCAGTCTTCATATGTGGAATTACGTCCAGGAAGCATGGAGCGTAACTCTGTCCAAAAAGCTTGCATTTGTCCAAAATGGGACTGCAGAGATGAACTACCTTTGCGTTGTAGAGAAATGCGTTGCAGAAGATATGCCTCCCGTGCACCCGAGCACTCAGTGAAACGCTCAGTGAGACGAGTCCACATGGCCTGAGCAGAGGGAAGCGAGCCAATCTCGACAGTGAGACCAGAGCCAACACAGCGAGTGAGATAATCCATAACACGAAATTCCTGCAATTGCCACTCTGAACTCTCCTTGACATAGAGAGCACGAGCAGTCTGAAGATCGACATCACCACTGCCAGAGGCAATAGTACTGGATGAAGCAACAGTGCTGATGGACGGTGGAACTGGTCCCGTACTGGTGAGATGATCAAGCAAACCAGCGCCACGCAAGGCATTGGTGACAATGGTGGACCACCCTGCCCAGTCACTTTGATCATTGAGGGGCAAAGGTGGTTTGGGAATCTTCTCTGAAGGAGCCATAACAGCAATCTTGAGACGTTAAGATGTCGAGATGCTGTTACTAATGTCGTTCGTTTGAGGCCGAGAGACGGCTTGAAACGACGATGCCGTTAATTTGAGACCGAGAGACGGTCTTGAAACGACAATGCCGTTAAAATAGAACCCGAAGGTTAGAATGAAACCCGAAGGTTTAAAATAGAACCCGAAGGTTAGAATGAAACCCGAAGGTTTAAAATAGAACCCGAAGGTTAGAATGAAACCCGAAGGTTTAAAATAGAACCCGAAGGTTAAACGAGAACGCGAAACGCGTTAAGAGGCCGCAAAACGACAAGGCCAAAATATCTGGCAGATGAACGCCAAATAATTAAAAATAAAAATAAAAAAAATAAAACATTAAACGGCTGCAAAGCAATAAGGCCAAGATTTGGCAAAAGAACGCAAAAGCGTTAAAAATTTTATTGAAAGGGAAATAGCCCTAGCTCTGATACCATGTTAAAGTAAGAGAGAGAGAGAGAATCTTGGGTAAATTTCCCTTGAATTGAATATTGAGTGTGCACATATATTTATACAAGTAGAGGAGTGTGAGGTTTGTTCTCCCAAGCAATGTGGGACTAAAACCCACTACAATACACTATTATCAACAGGTATATAGTCCAGTTTGGTGGTCTTTTGATGTAAGAAAGATCATATTTTAATTAATGTTGAAATAAATCATGATGATTTTCTGAAAAAATCTGTTATCTTTTTTGACAGTTTTCAAACTTCAAACTGAAATAAGCACGAAACTTTACCTTTGCTCCGAGATCAAAAGTGAAACCGAGGAGAATGCCGACGGGGACGCCAACAACGTAGTAGCAACCCACATTAACATACGCCACAAACGATTGCCAACCGCAGCCCACAGCCACGCCTTCACACGTGGTCAGTGAGAACAAGCTTTATTAGCTAATATTTCTAATTAGCCAAAATGATAAATAAAAAGGGGGGCCAAAAAGAAACAAATTAAACCAAAGTTAAATTTCCTCAATCCTCATGATTCACGACAAAAATGGCTACAACCCCATCAGCAGCAGCTGCAAAATCGTAAACATTTAAAACCGAACCAGTTGCGACCGTATGCGACAATAGTCGCAGCAACTGACACCTACATTGTAACTACAGTTTTTCCAAACGGAAAGCGATAACGTAGTAAAAATACAGTACAGAGATTGCTCACCAGATAAAACGGGTTGAATACCATTGAGAATGAGAGTGACGGCGAGCAAAGGAGTGAGCTCAGACACCGCTTGGGCCACCCTCTCCCCCTCCGTAAAAATATAACTGATGTAGCCTCGAAGGCAGAGGACAACTATGGCAATAACCACCGATACTAAGCACGATAACATCGTCACCGCTACAACTGAGAACGCTGCCGACTTGGGATTGCCTGCGCCTAATTCGTTGCTCACCCGTATGCTGTAATTAGTTCATTTAATTTGAAAAAGATCAACTCATTTTAACTAATTCCCATTGTTATTTTGTGGATCATAAACCTTTCGTTGATGTTCTTGATTAATTAAGTACCTGGCTGCTGCGTTGAATCCGACAGAGATCATGAACACCCAACCAGAGATTATCATGCTGCGCGCAAATCACGGACAACAAAATTCAGGCTCAAATCTCACTATACATGCTTTTAAAGGGGACACACTTTTATGTAAAACATGTTAAATTTGGGTTCATGAAAATTAGAAATGCTCAATGTGTACGTCGTGTGTTAGAGTATTAATTTGATTAATCTCACTGCAAGTTTGGAATTTTAATGTGATTAAATTACTTTAAGAGGGAAAAGAGAAATACCATATATATATATACACGTCACAATTCATTGGATTCACCATGTGATTATCTCCATATTCTTTGTAGTCAGATCCTTCTAATTCTCTCTATAAATACAGAGAGGAAGTGTACTTGGGAGTTCAAACGGCTATTATGTTGGTATTGGTTAGTTAATTTAAGGGTAAATAACCACTAAATCCCCCTGAGGCTTGCAACTTTGACAAAAACTCCCCCTGAGGTTTAAAAAGTAATGCTTTCTCCTCCTCCTTATTAGTTCTCAATCTAATAGAGTAACATGATACCCTATGTGACTCCTTAATGGCCAAGATACCCTCTAGAGTTTAAAATTTTTTATCTCCAGCATATTTCATCTTCTAGTTTTTTAAATCTATTTTGTAGTTGTCATAAAAAACTATTGAGCTAAGATTAAATTTTACCTTTCACTGATTCTCCCCTAAAAATTTTCATCCAAGAGAAAAAAAATAAATTCACTTATTTTTATACTTTATGGAGTTTAGAAGCTATAGGGTTCGAATTCCATAAAATAATAAAAGAAAAAGAAAAAGGAAAAAACTAACTCTGCAGTAAAAAAAAAGAAATGGAGAAGGAAAATCATGATGAAGGGTATTTTGGTCATTAAATAGTCACATGAGTATCATGTGACTCTATTACGTACATTAATAATAAATAGAGAGGGAAAATCTATTCACCTGCTTGTAGACAATACTCAGTCTGCCTTTTAAAAAGATAAATCCTCTCTCGATTCCATTCTGTTAGCCCATGAGATGATCAACTTTTGCTCTTCTGGTAAGAAGGAGATATGTGCTATCAAAATTGATTTTTTCAAAGCTTTTGATTGTTTCAACTGGAACTTTCTTCTTTCCCTGTTGGAAGCAAGAGGTTTTCGTCCAAGATGATGTCTTTAGATTAAACACATTCTTTCTTCTTCTAAATCTGCAGTTCTGATCAATGGTTCCCAACTAAATTCTTTTCTTGCCATAGGGGTCTCAAGCAAGGAGACCCCTTATCACCCATGCTCTTTCTTCTAGTGGTTGATATCCTAAATAAAATGATTTCTAGTAGTGCTGATTCAGGGGACTTGTCCAATCTTCATTTGAAAGGGGAACTAAACTCAATCAGAGTTCTTCAGTTTGCAGATGACACCATCATTTTCTCCAAGGCATCCTCTTCAGATATGATCACTCTCAAATCTATCCTTCTTCTTTTTGCTAATATCTCTGGCCTGAAGGTGAACTATAACAAGACCAATCTCTATTATCTTGGCAGGATCCATCTTAAAGGTCATGTTTTAGCTTCAACCTTCAATTGCTCTGTCGGCTCTATCTTGGTCTTCCTCTAAAAAGATGATCTCTGTCTGGAAGAGAATGCCAACTTCTTCTTTACTCCTTTCGTGAAAAATTATCTCTTTGGAAGAATAAATCTCTCTCCGTTGGAGGGCGTCTTACTTTAATAAATTCAGTTTTTTCCTCCATCCCTCTATATTACATTTCTTTCTTCAAGTTTCCGTCATGGCTTATCAAAGCTATCGATAAAATTAGGAGAAATTTTCTTTAGAACGGGAGCCATCACCTCTTTGACCTATCTTCTTTCAACATTGCTCTCCTCTCTAAATGGATATGAAAATTTTTTGATAGAGAATCCTTAATCAGTAGAATGATCTTCTCCCTGTACTCCAGAGATGATGCCAATCCTGTGGTGTCCAACCTAAATCTTAAGCTTCCAAACTTATTAAAGATCTGTTCTCTATCAGTTCAGTTTTCTTCAACTTTGCAAGATGGAATGTTGGTAATGGTAGGACATGCAGATTTTGGACTGATAAATGGGCTCGTGCAAACTCTTTTAGAAGTCTTTTTTTTTCCTTTAGCTTTCAATCTGGCCTTCTCCTCCGACTGCTGCATCCATTCTCAAGGTTTCACTCAAGATTGCTCTTGGTTCTGACATCCTATCCTTAGAAGAGGAGTCTCTCCCGTAGAGAGAGAAGAGTTTGAGTCACTTATATCATTCTTGGTTCCATACTCCTATGAAGCCATTAACTATTCTGATAGTCTATGGTGGCCTCTTCACCCTTCAGGTCAATTCTCTGTTATATCCTTTTATTTTGCTCTTAAAACAGGAGGCTGTAAATTTAGGTTCTTCAACTTCATATGGAAATCTCCAACTCCTCTGAAAGTCAAGGTGTTCTTCTGGATTGTTAGCAAAAACAAGCTCAACACTAGGGCTAATCTTGTCTCCAAGGGCTGACACGGTGACCTTAGATGCCCTTTTTGTAATCTGGAAATTAAAAACCAAGATCACTTGTTCATCAGATGTTCCTTTGCTTCATTTATATGGTCCACTCTCTTCCCCAGTGTTAGTGCGGATTCTTGGCCTCAAAACATGAAAGACTTAATTCTTTTCAGAGATAATTCCTTCAATAACTCAGATTTCATAATCCTGTGGAAAGTAGTGCTTCCTTGTTGTTGTTGTTGGTGGATCTGGAATAGCCGTAATCAGCTTATTTTTCGAGATATTTTGCCTAATCCTGATCATATTGCATCTAATGTGGCAATATATTCTATTTTATGGACAGATGCCAAGGAAGATAGGCTGGCTAAAAGGATTAGAAGGGCAGCAGCTATAATGCAGTTTGAGGAAACCGCGAAGAAGAAGGGTGCGGATGATGTGGGAGATAACTTCTTTTCTTCGGATTAGGAGTTGGTTTTAGTCAGCAGTGTTTTTCAGTCTAGTATTTTGATTTGGTGTAGTTCTTTTGTGGGTCATTTTCAAAAACTATCTATTTGTTACCATGTTCTTAACTCTTTTTATGTAGTTCTTTCTGTAGTGTAGATGATTCTATGAGGGTCGAGTCTGTTTGGTGACGAAAGGTCCGCTCCCAAACTTACTCCTCTTTCTTATGGTTCGTAATCTAAATTTTTTTGTAAGTTTTATAATTAAACCATTAAGTCCTTTTACATTATATATATACAAACATGAATCCTCTTCTTGTTTTTTCAGTTCAAAAAAAAAAAAAGAGGGAAAAAGTGTCACTTTCTAAACCTTAGGGGATTTGTTGTCAAAGTTGCAAACCTCAGGGGATTTAGTGTTATTTACCCTTAATTTAAGGAAATCTTTAGGTGATTTGTTGGCAAAGTTGCAAACTTCAAGGGGATTTAGTGTTATTTACCCTTAATTTAAAGTTTGTAACTAACCGCATAATAGTCTTTCCCGCGCAACACCCCCCCCCCAAACTTCAATAAGTGAACTCCTCACGAACCAATGAATGTTCGAATTCTATTCTATTTGCTTAGAACTAGGCTGGAATTAAGGTGAGACCTAACTCCCGAAGGTTTTCGTTGGTTAGGAGATGAGTCTTCTCGAGAGGAGGTCTCGAACTCTACCTTCTCCCTTGATATCAAGTCAATTTCTGCTTTCATAATGAGTCAAAACTTACCAATGCATAGTTCCAATAACTAGTAGATCACGAGCTTTGCTACAAGGACCCAAAATATGGGACCAATAAGGGGGACAAGTGAGGTGTCCCCCTCCTATTGGATAATGAGTTGGTCATCATTAATGATGACCAACTCATTATCCAATAGGAGGGGGACACCTCACTTGTCCCCCTATTGGTCCCATATTTTGGGTCATTGAGGAATTTTTCATGCCAAAATAGATAGCCGTCACTTTTGGCTACCTCCAACTTGATGAGGACTTGGTTTAATTTTTTGATGAGCTAAGGTCATAAATTATTAGGGCTCCACAATAGTGATATCATGTAAAGTCCATTAAAGCTCGACAGGCGACGTATCGTTGATTTGCATTCAATAATGGGCAATTGTTCGGTTTGGTTTGTTTGGTTGTCAATATAGAGAAATAATGGGGCCCTACTCGATTTGGTTGAATCTACTCATCTTTCGTGGTTGCACTCTAAATGCCAATAGTTTTATTCAATATTAAATATTTAGTGTATTTTTTTGTCGGGATACGCCTATAGTTTTAGTCAGTATTAAATATTTAGTGCATTTTTTGTCGGAATATTATCCTCTAATCTATGTCATGTAAATATTAAGTAAATTATAATTTAGTTGGATAATTGAAAGCCATGTGCAAAAGATCCATGTGATAAAAACAAAATTTTACTTGAGAGACTTGTGGACAGTGGGCATATATACAATAAGGGACATCATAGCAAATAAATTCATTTGTGTAAGGTTAGAGGATACTCCTAAGAAATATTAATAATAGAAAATAGATTGAAATGGTTGGATCATGTTGGGGAATTTCACTCTCCCCGCCTACTACAATATGCGCAACTCCGATGCCAACCCACAATCAATAAGATATAAAACGACAACAATCAAGAAAAAAAGAACACCAGGATTTACATGGTTCGGTCGACCAACTTCGACCTACGTCCACATGGCAACAATACGAGAAATTCACTATGTATCAGGGAGAACTACAAGAGGAACCACTCAACTCTCATCTCTCAATCTCTCAACCTCACATACATAATCAACTCTCATATTTTCTTCAAAGCCCACTCATTATAATCTTTTGCACGAATAAAGATCACGAAACCCTTGTCTCTCGCACAATATTCTTGAATCAGGCTACGCTATCTGCTAACCCTAGATTATAAGAATATTGGCTCTCTCTACTACATCTTCTTTCTACTCTCTTCTTCTTAGTTTTTCCTCCAACAATAGAAGAATATATATAGGAAAACCAAAACCCTATCTCTAGCCTAACTTCCTAATTAAAATATGATTCAAACTCCTAATCATGATGGAACCCAAACTCCTAATCATGATAGAACCCAAACTCCTAATCATGATAGATCTCTAACCCTATCTAATTCTCATAAAGTTCTACAAAGAATCAAAGACACAACCCCAACAATCTCCACCTTAAAATTGATTCTCAAACTCCCTCGAAGATATATCATCGTTGTCTTAAAACTTTGCCTCTCCCGCTAGAGTCTTCTATTTCTTTCGCACTCCAAATCGAAGCATCTACACTCCTAAGCAGAACACCTGCACTCCAACTGGTTGTCTCGTGACCCTCACTATCATCTGCTTCACAGTGGTGTCTCCACCTCTCTTGTGTGTACCAAGAGATCTTCGCCACCTTTGACAATAAAAGCAAATCAATCATGCTTGTCCTCCCAACTTGAGCCTGACAATAGCCTCCTCCTACTTATTGTCCTTGTGCTCCACCTGCATCGCTCGTCTCGAATCATTTCGATGCACCTCTCGTACTCCACACTACGAGCCGGATGTCTCTATCTCCTCCATCACTTGGCTTGGACCGAATATGAGCGCTCATCGTCTTCAAGTCCAATGCCACCATCTCCATTACCCTGTGTGTCACTCGGTCGTGCCAGCTTGTAAGCTCCACCTAATCTGGCACTGTCCTCCTCGAGTCTACACACCAACCAACTACTTCTCTCACAATGGCTTTGAATAATTATATGATGATAACTCTACTGCTAGAATCACATCTGATTCTCTACACCAGTATCATCTGTCGCATACTCGTTTTTCCTATCTGCCATCAGATTTGTATTGCCGTTGAAAAGCGGAATATTGAACTTCGGACCCGAAGAAGTCATCATTCTCTAACCATGATTAAAATTCAAATCAGTCACTGTAGAGATTGAATTTGATAAAACTAAACCAAAAACGAACTCAGTACATCGAAAAACCCTAGGAACGACTTCTGGATCACCAAAATATGCCTCCAAATTCTCAATCAAAAGACAAATCAATTTTAACCGTTGGATCTGTGTAAACAGTACCCGCCGCGCCGCTATAGTATTCCTGCTACAATATCCAGCTACAGTTCTTCGGTCGCTACAATATACCGCTGCTACAGTATTTCCCCCCTTTTTCTTGTCATCTTGATTCTTGTAACGTCGATCTTCAATCTTGCACGACGCCATCTTCTATCTTGTGAATTCATACCCATATTCATCACCATTGCTCTGATACCACTTGTTGGGAAATTTCACTCTCCCCGTCTACTACAATGTGCGCAACTCCGAATCCAACCCACAATTAAGAAGATATAAAATGACCATAATCAAGAAAAAAGAAACACCTGGATTTACGTGGTTTGATCGACCAACTTCGATCTACGTCCACGGGGCAACAATACGAGAAATTCATTATGTATCAGGGAGAACTACAAGAGGAACCACTCAACTCTCGTCTCTCAATCTCTCAACCTCACATACATAATCAACTCTCATATTCTCTCCAAAGCCCACTCCTTGTAATCTTTTGCACGAATAAAGATCACGAAACCCTTGCCTCTCCATAATATTCTTGAATTAGGCTACGTCCTCTGCTAATCCTAGATTATAATAATATTAGCTCTCTCTATACAACATCTTCTTTCTACTCTCTTGTTCTTAGTTTTTCCTCCAACAATAGAAGAATATATATAGGGAAACCAAAACCCTATCTCTAGCCTAACTTCCTAATTAAAATATGATTCAAATTCCTAATCATGATAGAACCCAAACTCCTAATTAATCATGATGGAACCCAAACTTCTAATCATGATAGATCTCTAATCCTACTAATTCTCATAAAGTTCTACAAAGAATCAAAGACACAATCCCAACAGATCACATACAATAAAGGCCCAAAAACCGCATCAATTAGGGGAAGATGATAAGATTACGATTAATATATGGAATAAGTATTAAAGATTACTAGACCACATTAAGATAACTTTGATGGAAATAATAACAATGAAATGATGTGATCAACTAATGTAGAAGGTAATTCTTAAAACAACTGAATATAACCATAATATTTATGGAGCCGACTCTAAACAATTATGATAGAGACCTTGATTTTGTTGCTAGCTAAAATAATCATATAACACGTCCATCACATTGTTAACATAAGAATAATTTTATTTTGAACAATTGAATAAGTTATAAACGGCCATCCATTTGAGATAGTACCCAGTTACATATCACAAGGGATTTTTTTGGTTAAATTCGTGTAAAATCAAATTTACTCAAAATCGTATCTATTTAACTAAAATAGGCATCATCAAAATGAACCGAAGCAAATAAGATGAACCGAAGATATCCTTACCAAATCGATAATGAATCAAGAGCAAGTTCAGGGTTCTTAAGCAACCCAGCAATGAGCACCAACACTTGAAAATACCAAGTTTCCAAGCACAACATCACTGCCGACGCCATCGACAGCTTCAAAAACTCCGGCAATCCGAAAAATGCCTGGACGCTAAACCCGGTCCAAGTGAACCGGCACTTCCGGGTCGTCAAGATGTACACGAACTGAGCCACCACTACAACCCACCAAGAAAAACTCAGCACCAAAGACGCACCCAAAAGTCCTAGACCCAGCTCATACACCACCACCCAGCTCAATAAAATGTGGGCCCCAACTGTGCAAGCGGAGATGACAGCACTGGGCGTGACAATACTCTGCGCCTGTCGAATACAAATTTTATCAGAACATCATTTGTATGTACAAGTGTGATAATTTGAACTACTAACGAAATGGACAAGATGTTGAAAATACTTGTAAGTTACGATAAAATTTGAACTCGGTACCTGTAGGAATTTCTGAATGGGGAAGTTGGCAGCGTACGCAAAGATTTGGGGTATGAGACCATACACGTATATGGAGGCGTATTTGGCTATGTCCTGGGATTGGCCCACGAGGACGAGGAGAGGGCGGGAAAAGGCGTAGATGATGGCAAGTGGGACCCCTGTTGCCATTAGAAGGATCGTTGACCGTTGCATGTAGATGCCTAACATTTCGTACTTGTTGGCCCCGTACGCTTGGCCACAGAGAGTTTCTACCGCGCTGCCCATCCCTAGCTGTGAGTTAATTAGGATGAGGAAAGGGAATTTGTTAATTGCGAGGGAGAAGTTTTCTATATTTAATTTTGTAATTCTTTAATTTACAGGGCAAGTAGAAATTAACGGACTGTAAGTCGATAAATTGAGTAAATTGCTAAGATCAAAGTTGCAAACTATGGTATATTTTTTGAGAATGAGCTAAATAAGGAATATAAGTTTGCACTAGTTTATGATCTTAAATTAAGTAGCTTACCCGTCAAATTGTAGATATTTCACTGAAAAGACTATATTTAGAAGTTAAAATTTTATAGATTTTCGAGACATATGTACATCTTCAACTAGATCTCTGACGACATGGTCTTCAGAAATATGCATGTCTATTTTCTTTAAAGTGTGAGGATACTTCAAAAAGAAAATTACATTAAGTAGAGGAAAAAAACACTGAGTTGGGAGATGAACTCTCCTCAACAAAATTTTATTTTTCAGAAAAAAAATTGTGAATTAAACCTCTTTCAATTACCCCAAACTTATTTTCTCAAATTAAATGGTAATTTTAATAATAATAATAATAATAATAATAAAAGAGGATAGATGCGGATAAAGGAACTGAGCAATGATGAAGTCCTATATATGGTTGTAAATTACGGGGAGGGAGTAATTACCTACAAATTAGCTAGCTTATGTAAAACCAGGTAGTAATGAGGGGGAAATTACCATGAGGCCATATGCAAAGACCTGGATCCCAGTATTCCCGAGAGAAGCAGCAGCCAGCTCAAGATTTCCCAGATGACCGCAAAC